ACTAACGCAACTACTTATTGTTTTTAAAACAGGCATGTGTAGATGGACTCTTACCTCAAAGCAGAACAGAAAGATTGGAGCCACCGTTCGTATTAGTCCTTCGAGAAGACAAAGTGAAGTGTTTTCACCATTGTTGTTACTACTTCGTCATCGTCTTTCAAAGCGAAGTAATGCAAATTTATGATATACGATTGTTAGAAATGGACTCTCAGATTAACATTAAACAACTTTCGTCCCTGTGGCAAAGGTCACATTCCTCGTAGCAAGCAAATATCCTTCAACACGTTGTTTCTAGTTTCTCTCTTTTCCTCTCCATACGTCGTCGACTGTAATGGATAGTGCGCATAAGAGAAAAGTTTCGAACGTTTCAATTTTCTACTCTTTTTTGCTCGTTTTATCAAGCAAGCATTGCAGCCTGCCAGCCGCGTGAAGATTGGTGTGCATTTGGGGACGAGGCGCACAACCGCTCGGTAGTACAACTTTATTTTGCAGGTTTGGTCATAAACAGATGACATGTCACCAAAGCACATGACAACAGTGATCCAAAGAGACTATGTAACCCGGCTTCTTTTACATTTGTTCTTCAGTCGCTGGAGCCAATTCCTGTCTACCACCAGCGTTTTTTTTAACAAAAACAACACCGCCTGCTACACAAGTAAAACGCCTATGATTGAGTTGATTTGGACCCCTTGCCAGCACTTGTTTGGTTGTGACCCGATTGCATTTGTGGAATACTGCGCAGGCAACACTTTAGAAGCCAGAGCTTCATTCCGTTTCATGAAAGCATATGTTTTCAGATTTTATGTAGTCACAGCAGATACACATATTTTCAACATGGTGATCTTCACAGCTATTTCTGATAGTTCAGTCTGTTCATATTACATGCGCCATATGACTGAAATCCATTGATACCAGTTCTGCGCACCGGTTTATTTAGGATCAAAGAAGCCGGTCGATTAACGATATTTGTTACTGGTCGAGACCAATGCAAAATTCTGACGATGAATTATGGACGATATCTAGAACCGCATGGAAAATAAAATTTCTTATGTCACCTAGATGATCAGCTTCTGGGAAGTAATTGTTGGGAAGCTACAAAAACGTATGCATGTGATTCATCATTCCTTTCAATAGAAGATAACACCTGCAATGCAATTTGAGTATAATTCCATGGTTTTGGGCGCACTGTCGTAATGATCGTAAAAGGAACCTCTTATTTACATTGACAGTGTTCTGGCCACGTA